CTCCGGACTAGGTTCGTTCCTCTAAGTCTCCCTACCAATAAGGCCAAGTTGCAAAAACAAGGTCAAACAATATCTAAGTACAACATGGATATTGTCCAGAAATATACAAATTCACTTGTTTCCTCTAGTTAACATTAAGCTGAGAAAACATGTAAAATTTCATATATGAAAGATTCAATAAAAGTATGCTCCTACATTAGTCTCCGGATATTGACTTTCACCGGCATGCAATCGGTTTATTGGAAGAAAATGCACTTCACCAGGGAGATTGTGCTTGTTGATTTCAGAAATTATTCGTATAACCTGTTTGTCTGTTTGAACGACATGATAAAAAAGTCGTGAACCCGCGGTCACTTCAACGCTAGTGTAAAAAGTTTCGGGACAGTCAATCAACTCGATCAAGGTGCCATGGTATCCTTGAACAATATCGCAATCGGGACCATAGCGGCCACGAAATGTCTCTATGACCTGACGATAACGAATAAGACATTGATAATGAACAAAAAAAAGAAATTAAAGAAAAATTAATTTAGCTTGAATAATTAACGCATTCATTTTTTCACGCAATAAAATAAGAGGTGAAATATTTTTAAATTATCAGCAGTCTAGCACTTAAATAATAGAAGTGGATTTAACTGAAATTAGAGACCGCAAATTCTTTTACAAACATAAAAATAATAAAATTGTGAATTAGAATGGCTAAGAAATGATTAAGATAATATATGAAAAATTTTAATGTCGATATGTTTTTTATTATTGTAGATAAAAACAGGTACAATAGCACATTTTAATAAGTTAAGTTTAATATGTTAATAAGGCCAGAATAACTCGAATGTTAAGATGAAACTCTTAAATAGATATAAATAATTTATGTATATGGAAAGAATACATATATATGAACAATGCTGGTCATACTCAGCTCAGTACATTAGAGTATGTTAAGAGAAAAAAATATTTGCAAGAATATTTATCAACAAAGAATAGATTAAAGATTGAAACTCAACGAGATTCGGCACAGCCGAGCCTAATAATCAAAACTTTAATAGAACAAAATTAGCCATGTAAATCGAGACCATAAGGGTTTACAAAGTAGATCAGATCGCCCTGTAAAAGAATGCCATCCCACCTTTCTAACAGAATCCAGACCATTGAGAATAACTTTTCCTATTATAGAACGCAGATTATGCTCTGTTCGGGCCAATTCATCTCTGAGGTTATGCAATTCCTGTGCAATCTTTGTTTCCTCCCGATATACTGTCTGGCGATCTGCTTGGATTTCATCCTTTTCTCGTCTCAAACGACGTAGCTCCTCGGAAACCTTAAACATGAGGTAAAAACAGTAAATCGT